TGGCTTCCAGTTCGGTTCAGAATTGATTTTAAAACTCCTTTTATTTGTTTTTAAAAGCACTAAATGGGCTGGCTCCGGCCTATATAGCTGAACTCCTCGAGCGCTACACCCCAGCCAGAGCTTTAAGGTCTGCTGACCAGCTGCTGCTGGTAGTGCCCAAGACCAGGCTCAAAACCCGAGGGCACCGAGCCTTCGCAGCAGCTGGCCCTAGGCTCTGGAACACTCTGCCCCTCCATGTGAGGTCGGCCCAGACCCTAGGGGTTTTTAAATCAAAACTAAAAACACACTTCTTCTCTCTGGCTTTCTAGTTAGAGCGGAGCACGACTCCTGACTTTTCCGTGTGTTTTATTTTTTTTATATATATCTGTTGTAATTTATTGTCTTTTATTGTGATTGTAGTAATGTGTTTTTATTACATGTACAGCACTTTGGCTCGACCAAAAATCACTTTTAAATGTGCTTTATAAATAAAACCTGATTTGATTTGATTTGTATTAAACCCCAAACAGCTTCAAGTCTTTGCAGATGATTTTCAGATGAGCCGTGCTCCAAGCAGCTGATTGCGACTGATAAATCAAATAAAGACATGTCCACTTTGATATATAATTGAAGTATGTGTACACATTTCTGCAAAAAAGTGAATTCAACAGGTTTGACAGCTCCCGGTTTATATTATAGAGTCAGGATGCACTATATATATCAGCCCGGTACATTAGTGATCAATACAATTAAGCCAAATTGCTTTTGCTTAACAAATGCCACATCTTCATACTCCGATACACTAGGTGGCGGTATGCAAGTTTAAAGTTTGCTTGAGAAATGCGAAGAAGAACGTTTTGCAGAAACTAGAATTTATGACCTTCTTTTAAATACAAAATATGAAGGTTACGTTTATCTTATCAGTTCCAGCCGCTAGATGCAGGTCATTATCAGTTAGATGATTATATAAAAAGTCATATTGCCCATCCCTCCTGTAATAACTCACACATACCTGGTCATGGCTGGCTTGGAGGGTGCTCCCCGGTGCCGTGGAAAGTCATCTGCACAGGGGAGAGGGTCAGATAGGTCACGAAGTCTTTGCCGCTCTGAGCGTCGCTGTACTGCACCTGGAGGAGAGCAGAGGACACACTGAGTTACCCCCGAAGAGTAAATACAGGATAGAATAAATCAAAGTAAGCAACTGAAGCGCCTGGAGCTTTCAGCGGGACACGGCTCTGTGTTTTTGGAAGTGGTCGGCTTCAGAGGAAATGTTGCATGTCTAATTGCCACCACAGAGCATTTGTGGACAATTACTCCACACCATACGGAGATGTAACGGAAGGGAATGAGTGTAAGGGTGTGTGTGTGTGTGTGTGTGTGTGAGGGGGGGCATCAGAGGAATTACATCAGTGACGACCCCTCATCATTGAGAGGTTAACGCTGCGGGCATTCCTAAAAGCTGTGCAATCAGGACTGTTATGACATGATGCTCCTCTGGGACAGTCTGCTCCGTAGATCTGCGAGTGTGTGTACGAGTTTGTGTACGAGTGTGTGGGGCGAGTGTGTGTGCGAGTGTGTGTAGGAGTGTGTGTAGGAGTGTGTGTAGGAGTGTGTGTACGAGTGTGTGTAGGAGTGTTTGTATGAGTGTGTGTAGGAGTGTTTGTACGAGTGTGTGTACGAGTGTGTGTAGGAGTGTTTGTATGAGTGTGTGTAGGAGTGTTTGTACGAGTGTATGTAGGAGTGTGTGTGCGAGTGTGTGTACGAGTGTGTGTGCGAGTGTGTGTACGAGTTTGTGTACGAGTTTGTGTACGAGTGTGTGTGCGAGTGTGTGTACGAGTGTGTTTACAAGTTTTTGTATGAGTGTGTGTACGAGTGTGTGTACGAGTGTGTGTGCGAGTGTGTGTATGAGTGTGTGTACGAGTGTGTGTAGGAGTGTTTGTATGAGTGTGTGTAGGAGTGTGTGCACGAGTGTGTGTGCGAGTGTGTGTACGAGTGTGTGTAGGAGTGTTTGTATGAGTGTGTGTAGGAGTGTTTGTACGAGTGTGTGTAGGAGTGTTTGTACAAGTGTGTGTACGAGTGTGTGTGTGTAGAAGTATGTGTACGAGTGTGTGTGCGAGTGTGTGTACGAGTGTATGTACGAGTGTGTGTACGAGTGTATGTACGAGTGTGTGAACGAGTGTGTGAACGAGTGTGTGTACGAGTTGTACGTGTTGCCCTGGCCTACTTATGCCCAGGACAGCTGCAGGCATTTTAATAAATGGCATAAGAAAACCGATGAGAACTCAAAAGAGAGTGGTCCCTGACCCATGCTGAGATACAAAGGACAGAATATGAACATAACTGCACTTAAAACTCCTAAAATAAGTCTATAAAAAGGTTTCTGAGACACGATGAGAGGAATACGTTAAAGCCTAATCATGATGCAGAATCAAAATGACATGGATAAATGAAATAGTTCCCTCAAAAATTATGGAAAAATTGTCAAATGTCAGAATCTGTTGGATGTTTATACTGTATCATTGTTGGGTTGTCTCTTTTTTTGGTTACCTGAGGATTTTAAAGTTACTACCTTTAGTTATTTCAACTCCTAACACACTAAAATGACACAAAATGCAATGATTGAAACTGACACTAACAGAGCTTAACCTCAAGTCTTTACAACACTACTCAACATATGCAGCACCTTGCACACCACAATCCACTTAAATCAATTAAAATAATCGCTGCCATCAAAATGCCACTTCCTTGTAAAAACAAACAGATAATTGCTTAATTGTCAAGTCATCAACTCAATCATCAGCACTTTAAACCACAGGTATAGCTGTCTTTACAGCTGTCTATACGTGTCTGTATTCAATCCATTGAGAGCACACATGTCAGTCCACACAACGGCAAAATAAAATTACATGCAAACAACCTTTTCACTGGGTTAGGGTTTTAAAGATAAGAGTTTGCCACACACACACACACACACACACACACACACACACACACAGCTGTATATGGTCTGTGACTGAAAGCTTCCAGAGCAACTTGTGTGTGTCGTTCTGAATGAGTTATGAACATATGTGGAAGTGTGTGTGTGTGTGTGCTTTAGTCAGACACATGGATCTCTGCCCATTAAGACACAGACCATCATCTGATATGAACATGTGCATGAAGAAATAAACACGTGATGTAACGTACAGCGAGTGAGAAGACGAAGACACACACACACACACACACACACACACACACACACACACACACACACACACACACACACACACACACACACACACACACACACACACACACACACAACACACACACACACACACACACACACACACACACACACACACACACACACACACACACACACACACACACACACACACACACACACACACACACACACACACACACACACACACACACACACGGGCCCGCAGTGATAAATTGAGGAATGCTATCTGTTATGTGTATGAATGATGAATGTAGTAAAGTGAGCCGTGGAAAAAGCCTTCTCTGACAAGTTAATCTCCAATAAATTCTCCAGACTTCAACATTATGGAGCGAGAGAGGAGGAGGGAGACTTTAAGAGGTAAAAACACAATTGTTTGGACTCAAGAATCTTATTTCTGAAGTATTAAAGAGCAGCTTCTTCTAAAACCTTCGTGAGAGGAAGTGCTGTCTCTCAGTTTCACTTTTTAAATAGATAAACGATCTGATATATCACATTTCAAATCATCTGTATTCTATTGTTTGCAAGTGTTTATGCAAACTGTGCAGATGATGGGAAATACCAATTACAAATAAATATTGCGGGCAATTACGAAAGTCCCTCAAACAAATAACAATGGAAGTTCCCCTTTAGTTCTGATCACATTTATCATAAAAGGGATATTACGTTACATTACAATGTGTAAAAACGAATAGTTTGAGTAGTCTTTAGAAGAAATGAATAGTTGTTAGGCTATCCCAAAGGTTTCCAACAGTTGGAATATCATATAATATTCTTTATAAAACGGACAAGTCAAATCAAGCAATCTGATTGGTTCTTAGCCGTGATATAATGAGCGTATACCACGGGTAGAATTGTAGTTACTTTTCAAAACAAGTCAGTATCCCTCCGCGTCTGAGAAAAAGCTACAACCGTTACAACTGTTAATTTACGACATGTAGAGCTACGTGAAGAGCAGGTAGACCAACTGGAAAAGTACCACCATTCAAAAGCTTTCTGATGCGGGTCTTGAAACAAAGCAGAGAAATTATGACCGTTAGTGGCCACAGGTGAGAAAGCTCTCTCCAGAGCTACTGGAAGCCGAATCTCGGGGACCGGAGAAAGTGGAGCAATATTCTCGCCACGCCAAGCAACAGCCGAGAACAACCTCAGCCTATACAAGTAACCACGTAAGCCATGCTACTGATGCTGGACAGTTTTTCAGTGGCTGCACAATAAACGGCAACATACACATTAATGTAAATAAATAGCCAAATAATGGATCAACGCTCTCTGTCTAATATGTTCGCTAGCTGTTAATGTTGTTGCATAGCAACCACCTCGCACTATGTTTCGTGCAGAAGGCAACGGAGGGACTATTTTATTTTGAACATCATTATTTACTAATAAAAACTATTTAAATTAGAGTGTGTATTTTTCTTTCATATTGCCACACTTGGTAACCGTTTTATAAAAGCAATAGCTCACTTCAGGCCGTGATATATGGCTTGAAGTGTCGGGCCGAACCACGCCCCTTAGCTGTGATATAATGAGCATATACCACGGCCTGTCGTGAGCTATTGCTTAAATAATCTAGTTAACGATACGTCTCCTTGAATGGCATTTTATTTGTCTTTTTATGGAATTAAAGCCACCTTTTTAAGCTGACATATTTGTGGTTTTTAACTCTAACTGGATAACGATTTGAACTGAGTGGTGGGGGTGTCTTGAGCAAACAAACTGTCTAACCTACAGGAATCCTGCCTCTGGTTAATGATCATTGCTCTGTCCTAAATATCTACTAACTGTTGCACATCGGCATTTCCCTCTACCCTTGAATCTATTTGGGAAGAAGTGATCCTTTATGAACTTCCTCCCTAACTTTTCAGTCTTGACAATAACTCTCTGTGCAGCTCTTTGGTCCAGAACTGAAACATCTCCACAGGACGAACCGCCATGAAATGTGGTGCAGACGTTCATGGCTCCCAGACGAAGAATTTGTATGAGTTTAGTGATCCTTTCTCTCCTGACTCAACAATGAGAGGCATCATTAGCTACTTGGTGCAGACGTTTGTTTCCCAATGGATGATTTGTCAGCACTTTGGTGATCCATTAACTTCCACTCTAGTGCAAACACTCGGACACACTTTTGACCAAATACCTGCAAAATGTACGACTCTAAACAGCCTGTGTAGCTGCTAATAAGCACATGTTAGTATGCTCAAATCAAATGAACATGGTAAACATTATTATCTACGGTCCTTCTGAAGTATGGCAGTATATATTCTGAAGATGCTATGGTACTTAACGTGAGTCTGTGAAATAGATAATTTCATTTTGGAACAATCTAACACTGTCATATACTTACTTATGGTTTATTCATTGCCAGTTTTGTGTTAAGCTTGCTATAATCTTATGTTCATCCACCTTCTTTTCCCTAACTCTGAATGTATTTTAAAGTGGACCTATCATGCTATATTTTAATAATATAGTGTAGGACCATACCTATATAAGGCATATTTATACTTTTTTTTTTTCAAAATACCAAACAGATCATGCATTTTAGCCATGCCTCATTTTGCTCAATTTGAAAAATGTTAGCTCTCTTTTTGCAAGGGCTGATTCAGTGAGAACAGCACCATCTACAGGCCTGGCATATGTACTACAGCGTCTCCAGCGCTTTCGAACGGCAATGGCCGTGGCTGTCTCCTCCTGATTGGTGGAGTTGGCCCAATAGCCGTAGCGCCACCGTCCTGACGTCAGGACAGTGTTCAAATCTGGATCAGTTTTGATCAGATCCGTTGCAGCCCCTTTTTTAGAGATTTGGGTATGGAGGAAAATAGAGAGGGTTGTGTTTTCTGACACTTGGTGAGTTCCCTGGAACACCGGGGACACATATTCATGCAGAAAAGACGTACAAAA